ATTACTTTTGTTATGTTCCTTCGGAACATCTCTACTTTTGTTGTTGGTATAATAAAACAGTTATTGTATTTGGTATTCCGGGAAATATCACTTGTATTGTCCCCCTTGACATTAACTATTTCCCTCGGCTTCGCATCGGGGTACAATAAAAGTGCTATTTCCCTCACACCCATACAATAACTGTATATTATTTTTAAATAAACTACCACTGAAGAATCCGAAAAATCACAGGATATAGCAAATTTAACCTGTTTTACTTTCTGTAGCTTTCTGCATAGACATATTAAATTTTCAAATAAACAAAACATGTAAAAACATTTGCAATGAAAAATAAGAATTGACATCAACGTCAATTGGTACTTCATAGTATCGTTCAACCAGACGCTTGATCACATCTCTGTTCGGCGTAGCTTGACTAGGTACTTCACGAATCGGTTACACGTGTATCTGGTCACGCCAGCCCAAACACACATCCTAATAAATTGAACTTATTGATACGTAAATAATGTTTAAAAATATAAACGTAACACACACACACACACACACACACACACACACACATACACACACACGTGCTTGCACATTTAAAACAAATTGTTATAGAAACAGTACGCCGAAAATGACTTACACTGTAAGATGTTACGTCCTTCTAGGATCCATCGATGATGCTAGTGGCCAAAAAGTCGAAAATCCAAAATGTCCAAACAGGTGTTGAAACAGAGGGACAGGTGATTATCAAGTAAACAATTAGAGGAGTCCAATTAAATGTGTATAGTGTGTGTATTATAAACCATGCAATTACTCAAAAGAGATAAATGTGACTACCAAGGTTACAGTTGAACCTGAGCCGCGGTGGCCAAGTGGTTAAGGCGTCTGACATTCCGCTACCATATATAGCTAGCCCTCCACCAATGGGTCTCGGTTTTGAAAACTACGTTTGGCAGTCGCCAGGTACTGGCCGTTGGCAGGTGTTTTTTCTCTGGGAACTCCGGCTTTCCTCCACCATCAAAACCTGGCACGTCCTTAAATGACCATAGCTATTAATAGGACGTAAACCACAAACAAACCAAACCAAACAGTTAACCTCAATGAATAAATTATCCATCAGCTTGTGTCCTGAAAGATGAACGTTACACACACACACACACACACACACACACACACACACACACACA